TATAGAAAGTTCTGTTGGATGAGCTTCATTCAGCCCTAATGAAAGAATTCTATAATAGGAGATGTGGCAGTAGATGTGGGTGAAGTTTTCTTTTGGAATTTATTCATTGCTTTGTTGTTGTTGTTATGTTCCGTTGAGTCACCTATGACTCAGTGACCGTATGTACAATAGCCCTAAACCCTGCTCTATCCTGTGCCAACCTCACTGTCTCTGACACACCCACCCTGATTACCCCAGTCACTGAATCAGTCCACCTCATAGAGAGCCTTCCTCTCCTACACTGTCCCTCCACTCTCCCAGACATGATGATCCTCTCCAAGGACTGGTCCCTCCTTGCTACATGTCCAAAGTATGTCTGACAAGCTTCAGAATCCTTGCCTCCAAGGAGTAGCTTAGTGTAACCCTCTCTAGTAATGAACCTGTTTGTTTTCTTAGCAGTCCATGGTATATTCAATACTCTTCTGCAACACCACAGCTCAAAGGCATCAATTCTCCTTCTGTCATCCTAGTTATTGTCCAGCTATCTGAAGCATAGCAAGTGATTGCAAAGACCATGGCCTGTATCAGGTGCACCTTAGTCTCCAGAGTGACACCATTGCTCTTCAATACTTAGGAGAGGCTCCTCACAGAAGACTTTCCCATTGCAATGCAGCTTTTAATTTCCTGGCTGCTGGTGCCAAGAGTGTTGACTGTGGAGCCAAACAAACTAAAACTGTTAACAATCTTAACTCTCTTAACCACCCATCCTGATGCTGCCAATTGGCCCAGTGGTAAGAATTGTTTTCTTGATACTGAGCCTCAATCCATATTAAGGCTGCAATCCTTGACCTTTTGCAGCAAGTGCTTCAGGCCCTCCTCAGTTTTAGCAAGCAGGGTTGTGTCATCTGTATAACACAGATTATTGATGAATCGTCCTCCAATCCTGATGCCATACTTCTCCTCATACAGCCCAGCCTCCTGGATAATCTGTTCTGCATATAGGTTGAAGAGGTATAGAGATAGAACACATTCCTGGTGTACACCCTTCCAAATTTTGAACCATGCTGTGTTTCCTTTCTCTGTTCTGACGACTGCCTCCTTGTCCAAATACAGGTTTTGTATTACCATGATCACGTGTTCTGGGATTCATTGTTTTAGTAATGGTAAAAAGAAAGAAAAAATTATGACTTCTTCAGCATGTTTTCCTCATCCTTAGGCAGATAAAATCATAGTTTATAATGTGTGTGCAATAGTTTGCATTTTTTTAATTAATATTGATTTGGAAAGACTTTCTACTGATCTCATATGTTTGCCATTTTAGCAAAGGGGAATAAATATGCCATATAGCACCATCATTGAGTTAACAGTCCTTATCGTCGTGGAGTGGCTTCCTGTTTTTCAGTGTTATGAATAGTACTGCCTTGAGCTCCTCGATGTTGAGTTGTGGTGGGGCTTTTTTTTTATTCACTCGGAACCTTTTTCTTTTGAATTGTTTCCTTATTGTAAATTCTAGGAAGTGATTTATTCACTCAAAGGATACAATCACTTATATTTCTCTTGCTATAGATTGCATAATTGCCGTTCAAAAAATAGCCTGAATGCATGATACCTTTCAATAGATATAAATTGTGGTTACTTAGCTCATGAGAAAATGAAGTCACCAAGAGGTTGAGGGCTTAGCCCAAAGTGTAGCTGATAGAGGCAGGGCTTGTGCCCATGTAACAGGGCCCCAGCTCTCTAGTGCATTCTTTGAAATGCTTATTATATTGTTGTTATTAGGAATACTAATACATTTAGTATTGATAAGCCTGAAAGGCATGTTATAGTCTTTAGCATAAAATTTGTGGCCAGGTGCATTTTTTAAAATACATACTTTATGAATGCAACTGCAGAGAAACGAGTCTTCATAAATGCTGGCATTCATGTGGGGGTGCCCATTGACACTTCTTACAGCCACCCTGGAATTCACTTCACGGCCAGTTTATGAGCCACTCCACACAATCTGGCTGGTATCTGAATGTCATTCCTTGTATATGACCAAAAATAGTATTCCTGAGCTTGATGTCCCACCTGATTCACCACACTTGGAGCCAGATAACGTTGGGTTCTTTCCAGAAGCCAAATCCCTTCCCTAATGGATGAAGATTTGCCAGCTCTGAAGATTTTTTTTAAGTATTAGAAGGTGAGGAAGCTCACACTTTCCCAAGGAAGACAGAACTGATGTGCAGTGTGGCCACCTGGTTGGCACAGGCACATGGCCTTCTAGAATGACCAAGTCATAAGGGAAACAATCCTTTTCTGTGTGTATTCCACCATTATTTACTTAAAAGACAATTTTTATCATCCTTCAGTCACTCCTCCGTGTTGGGAAAATACCACAAAGAAATGAAGCAGCAGAGCCAAGGTGGAGGAAAAAGTCTTAAGGACAAGCCCTGCCCATGAAGGCCGTCCCCAAGAAATAGACTGTGGGCCACAGGGCATTTTACATTTTAGTTGCTACATAAAAAAAGTGAAAAGAAACAAGTAAAATTAATTTTACTAATGTGTTTTATTTGACACCATATATTACTTCAATCTGTAATCATGACAGAAAATATAATTAGGGAGATACCTTACTCTGAGTACTGTGCAAGAGTGGACATGTGGGTAACTTACCAGTCCCAGTCCTCTCAGTTCAGATGAGCTGTATTTTGGGCCCTCAGCAGACACTTGTGTGGCTCATGGCCACCACCTTGGGGAGTACAGATTTGGTAGAAAATTGGATTTAGCACAGACCTCTGAAATCAAATCACAGAAGGCTTTGGAGTTGAATGAGTCTGATTCCAGAGGACATTGTGCCTCTCTTGGAGTGAGGTTGTGATGGCCCTGGGTCTGTTCACTTATTCATTCATTATAGGGGAGGAGGGGGCAGGCAGACAGACTAGCAGAGGAGATACAGTTGAATTTGGCCTTGGAAGTAGAGTGAGAGGCTTGCCGTGCAGAGTAGGAATGGAAATACTTGGCAGAGGATGCGACCTGAGCAGAGGTCCATTGCATATGCGAACCAGAGCCAGTTTTGTGTTTTGTATTTTGGGTGTGTTTTTTTTTTAAGTTTTGCCAAGGTGTTAGGTGGCATAGGCTATAGGGTGTTGCACTGCTAATACACTCGACTCTACAGGAAGTTCAAATCTACCAGCAGCTCTTTGGGAGAAAGATGGACAGTCTCCTCCTACATGATTTACAGTCTCAGAAACCCACTGGAGGGTCAGCTGTGAGTTGGTTCCAATTCAGCAGCCGTGAGAGAGATTGGCATTGGGGAACTCTTGTGAAAGGAGTGACTGAAGAGGTGGGGTGAAGGTGGACCTTCAGCCTCTGGCCACTGTCACTCTGCCTGTCCTTACCGCCAACATTGCTTATCTGGGTGACTGGCAGAAATATGCAGTTCTTTTGTCCTGTTTATTCCTGCCCAGCATCCCTTTGAAAAATCAGTCAGATCATGTCACTGTATGCTCAGAACCCTTTGGTGATTTTACAGTTCACTTATATCAGAAATGTCAGGGTCCCCTAAGGGCCAGTCCTGTCCCTTTACCTCTGGTCTTCCCTCCTTCCACAGTCCTCCTGGTCCCTCTTATCTGGCCATGCTGGTCTCACTCCTCTGCCTTGAGCCTTAGAGGTTTTTTCTGTCTGTTGGAATATGCTTTCATCAGGTAGTGACATGATTCATTCTCACATTGTACTTCTGCCACTTCAGGCCATCCTCTAAATAATGCCCTTGTTTGAAGTTTTTAAAAAATGATTCTTAGCACTTGGCATGTCAAAACCAAAACTCCTGCTGCTATATAGTTAGTACCAACAGATGGTGACTCTCTTGTCAGGTCTCTGAGGCTGTAAATCTTAATAGGAGTGGACTGTCTCATCCTCTTCCACAGAGCAGCTGGTGGATTTGAACCACTGACCTTTAGTTAGCACCCTAACACATAATTCACTATACCAACAGGGCTTCTGGCATATAGTTTCTAATTTTTTACCCCCATTATCTGCTTCTCTTATAAGACTAGTAGCGTGCTCTTACCATACCAGGGCACAGTGTTCACTAAATATTGAATGAGTGAGTGAATGGATGGATAAATGAATGAATGAATGGATAAATGAATGAATGAAATACCTGAAACATGGCAGGATGCACAACTGCATCCTGATTTGAGATTTTTATTGATGTATTTATCTTTGCATTCATTTACTTATTTACCCAAATTTTATAATGGAATATTTCAGTACTAAAATAATGTAGGAAGAATGAGATGGAGACCACCCATATATCCTCCACTTAGATTCAGAACTAGTTAAGATTTTGCCACAGCTGCTTTAAGTAGTCTTCTAGCATTTGGTCGTGGATGCCTAACCATCTTCAAGTCAATTGTAGAAACAAGACACTTAATATGAAAGCAAACATTACAGTCCCTATTCTTCCCACCCACCTCTTCTTTCCAAATAAAAACTCTCCCTACTGGGGAGGAAATGGAAAAAAAAAAGTATACTATACAGTTACCCCCTGGTCAAGGAGTTGTGCTACCAACCCATAGGAAGTCAGTTGAAACCCGCCAGCTCTTTTGTGGTTACACAGTTACAAGGGAGCTGTAGGGGCTTGTGCTGCAGACAGAAAGGCAGGACTCATCTGGTAGCTCAGATTCACCAGTGGCTTCACTAGAGAAAGATGGACAGCCTCCTGCTGTGTGATTTACAGCCTCTGAAAATCTGCTGGAGGGTCAGCTATGAGTGTTCCAACTGACTAAAATGAGTTGAGTTGCTGAGTTAATACACTTACAGTAATCACACAGCCTGGCACTGGCTGAACTGTAGACACACAGACCTTGGAATGTAATTAAGAGTCCAGAAAAGAATCCACACATCTGTGGTCAACTGATTTTTGACAGAGGTGCTAAGTCCATTTATGGAGAAAGCATAACACTTGCCTTTGCGTTTAGGGGCTGGAGCTGAAGAGTGGCGAGTCAGGAGACCTCAGGCAGTGGGCAGCTTGGGCCATGGCCTCCGACCTGGACTTCTCCCCTCCTGAGGTGCCCGAGCCCACGTTCCTGGAGAACCTGCTGCGGTACGGACTCTTTCTGGGGGCCATCTTCCAGCTCATCTGCGTGCTGGCCATCATCGTACCCATCCCCAAGTCCTTGGAGGCGGTGAGTTCTTCCTTCCCTGTGGGCTTCGGCTCCCTGGGTACCAGTCGGGGTTCATGGTGCTGATAGTAGATAACACAGGGACTCTGTTGAGCGTTATTGATCTGTTGTTAAGTGCTGTCCAGCTGGCTCTGACTCCTTCCTCAAATTCTCAGCTGGTGTCATTTTACCCCAAAAGTGATTGTATATCTGTTGAGTAAATTTTTGTTTAGTGCCTACTTGATGTCTGACTCTACTGAAAAATGTGGATCTGTCCTCAAGACCTTCACTTCCTTTGGGGCAGGCAGATATTAAACAAATACATGTGCTTGTGCAGGGATATAGAATAAAGAGGAAGGCCTGAACTCATCCTGCACCACAGGCTGGCTGTTCTCCTAAGGGGACTGCGCTGAAATAAGGGATATAAAGACTTTTGCTGCTGAAATGGTTAGGTGGTAAGGACAAAACAAGCTAGCAGTGAGAAGAGCATGTCCAGGGAACCTGGGGCGTAAAGGAACAGACTTGTTCAAAGAACTGAATAAAGTTGAGTGGCAGGGCAAGAGGAGAAGGAGGGGACATGGTGAGAGGTGTTGGCAGGGCCCAGGAGGGTTTTGAGTAAGAGAACAACATAATCTGATAAAATTTTTATTCTTTTGATTCTTAAGTCTATTTTATTTTCTTAGCTATACTTCCTCCCCTCACTCCCACTTTTCTCATGACATCGAGTGGTTGGAGAAAGCAGATCATTTGTCCTCTGCAATGTTGACAACCAGGATTAGGCTGATTGGTTCCTTATGGTGTCAATCAGCATGTTTCTCTGTTCCCTGTATTTCTTAGTAACTGAACTTAGATCCCAGAGGCTTGATGCACTTTGGATCCAATTGTTTGATGAGAATTATTCTTAGAGAGTGCTGTATAGTTCCTAGTGTATGTCACCTCCAGTAATGACTTGTAACAGCATGTCTACCAGGGAAGCTCTTTAAACACTTGGTGGTCAGGGGGCCTGTTTATGTAGACATGCTCTGCTTAGCATGTACCAGAATTCCAGACTTCCAGAAGGAAAGCAGATGTTCCACATAAAGCCTGTTTTTGGCACAATTTGGGCACAGCAAGTCACCTTATCAGTTCTGGAAATGGTGGGAATTCTACCTAAGTCCAAGTTTCCAGATGCCAGTCGAGGGCCAGCTTGCAAGAGGGCTTTTTTTTTTAATGCTCCTTTTTTTTCCCAAGTCATTTTTTTATTTATTTAAATTTAATATTGTTGTTGTTGTTATGTGCCGTCGAGTCGCCTGCGACTCATAGCGACCCTATGTACAACAGCCCTAAACTC